TGAGCCTTGTGCACAGAGACAGGTGAGGGAAAGGGCATGACTGATGCCCAGATCCAGGATGGGAGACTTGGCATTCCCTGTCTCCCAAGGCTTTATCCTGGAATAAAGCATCACAGCCGGCTGTTGCATCCCCTTTATCCTTGGAGTGGCAGAGGGACAAAGCCCCTTGGAGCAGCCACATGCTCAGACAGCCACAGGACAGGCTGTGCAGAGGCTGGTCCAGCTGAAAGAGAGTGATTCCCGAACAAAGAGGGATTTGCAGCTGGTTTGTGCTGCAGCATCCGGGCCAGCCCCAGCCTCCTCCCCACACTGCTCCGCAGCCCGGGCCGCTGATTGGAAACCCGAGCCTGCCATCACTCCGACAACCAGGAATTATGCTGATGGATTTTTTATTATTTTTCCCCCCTCCCTGTGCTTGGATGCACTCAGCAAATATAAGCAAAAGAAAAAAAAAAAAAAAAAAAAAAAAAAAAGAGCGAGAGAAAATCCAGATTCAATTTTAGATATGGCGACAAAGCAAAATGGTTGCAGTGCAAAGAGGGAAGGCTAAGGGGGGAAAAGCTCCTGCCTCAAGGAGGAGCTGGAGCTGTAAAGCTCCCAGCAGCCCTGAAGCTGCTGTCTATGATTTACAGGGTTGTAGTGACATGGAGGACGTGTCCCATGGGGACCCATGCCAAGCTGGGGACACCAACAACCCCATAGAAGGCAGTGGGAGCTGCGGGAATGCAGGGCAAGACTGGTGATGAAGTTATGTGGCTTCATCAAATCCTTCCTAGTTTTAGAAAATGCCTGCTCTGATGGGAAGTGAAGAGGCTAATTTTCTGTGCGGGGTGTTAAGGATTTTCCTGGAGGCCCCAGTAAAGAGCCTGTGCAAATGTGCTGCCTGGAAATGTTGTGTCAAAATCAAACCCCAGCCTTGCCTTTCCAAAAAAGGCTCAAGTGAAATGCTGTGGATGTTCAGCTTGGCTTTGCAGCAAACCTACTGGTGCATCCAGGCTGGGTAACAGCTCTGGTCAACCCAAATTATACTTGTTTTGCATCAGTTCTTTATCTCAGTCTGTTGCCTTCCCTGGGCTGCCCTACTCCCACCACTTGCTGCCTTCCCTCTGGTGGCTGCTGCCTCCCCCTTACTCCAGCCTTGCCAGGTGGTCTCATGTGGCACCAACCCTGCCCCTGGCACTGCTGCAAACCTGGCATCACCCTGGTGGAAGCAGCAGCCCTGTAGCTGCATCTGCACCCACCCCTCTCCATCCTTGTCCCAGTGGAAGCACCCCAGCCGTACCCACACTCACTGCTCTCCATCTTTCCTGCCTCTGTGCCATGCCCACAATCCCTGGGAGTGTTTCTGGCTCTGGGGAAGCAGAGCATTCAGAGGGCATCCAGCAGCTGAGAATGAGGACCAAAAATGAAGGAAGTAATACAGGGGAACAAAATGAAATGAAGCAATTATCCCTGCTCTGATACTTTCTAATTAAGGAAAGTGTCACCCTTATTAAGAGGCCATTAATTCATTGTCATAAGTCACCAGCAGTGCAAGTACCAAAAACGTGCCTGGGCCGTGGGGAGTGGAGCAGCTTCCCCTCCTCCTCGCACCGCAGGCTCCAGCGAGAGCTGCTGCTTGAGGCCACAGGGCTGCTCATGGATTCCTGCAGGAAATGCCCTGTGCCCACACCCTGGGCTGTGCTTTGTGTGCTCTGCCACGATGTTCAGCTTATCCCAAACAGAGATGAGCCCACCCACCTCCACCTGCGTCCCCGTGGCTGCACGCTCTGCCCTGTGGGCTCCAGATGGATTTGTGCAAAGCATGTGGTGAGTTCTCAGCAGAGACCACCACCCCAGAGGCTGTTCTAAGGAACCAAGCCACCAAAGAGCTGCCCAAGTATCTCCCACCCTGCGGTCAAGGCCAGCATTTCCTCCTGCATCACCTCCCATTAACAGCCAGCTCTGTCTTGGCAGCCTCTCATTACGTATTCTGCATGGAGGGCCCCACATCAGCTTAATTAACAAGGTAAGAAAAACGGGACCTTTGAGGAAATCTTAATTATATTATCCATCTCACCCTGAGTGGCACCTGATCCATCCCAACACTGTTTTCAAGTTCATTAGCAATAAATCAAGATTGATTAGTCCTGGATGTGCAGCAAGAACATACTGGAGCAGAAGACTTCTGCTGCCATCACAGCAAGGCTCCGTGTGTGTGTTCCCAAGCCCTGTCTTGTCCTCCAGCACCAGGCAGTGGCATGGGGAGCAGGGCTATGGGATGAGGCAGAGGGAGGTGTGCCAGAGCTGGAATGTGGCTGTCAGAACATCCCAGGAGTGGCTGTTTCACTGTGCCCCTGCCACACGCTGGCACCCCACTCTTCCCTGGGATGCTCTGACGTGGGGCAGCACCCAGGCAGCCCTTCCAGGCTGTTGCACCATTCCAGGGATGAGGCAGCCACAGCTGCTCTGGGCATCTTGTGCCAGTGCCTCACCACTCTCACAGGGAAGAATTTCTTCCTAATATCCAATGTAATCCTGTCTTCTGCTGGTTTAAAGCCGTTCTCCCTTGTCCTATCATGTTCTTGTTCAAAGTCACTCAACTCCTTTAGGCACTGAAAGTGGCTCTAAGATCTCACCAGAACCTTCTCTTTTCCAGGTTTAAAAACCCCAGATTTCTCAGCCTGTCTTCAGTGCAGCAGTGCTCCAGCCCTTAGAGCACCTTTGGGTTCATACCCTGGACTCACTCCAGCAGCTCCATGACCTTCTGATGCTGTGATCCCCAGAACTCGAGGCAGCACTGCATGTGGGGTCCCTCCTGAGCAGAGAAGGGGGGACAAGCCCCCCTCCATGCTGCCATGGTGCTGGGGACGCAGCCCAGGACAGGGTTGGCTCACTGGGCTGCCAGCACACGTTGCTCATGTCGAGCTTCCCCAATGGCTTGGGGTGGTTTGTAATCCTCCCTGTGCACCTGATGGGATGACAGGGTCCTAATTAGACGGAGCATGCAAACTACTGGGGACAGGCATTCCAATTTAAACCAGCTCCACGTCAGCAGAGCCAGTGGCAGGCACTGCCACCCCTGTGCCCAGCACACCGTGTCCTCCCACCCCACTCAGCCAGGCACTGCACAGGCTGTGAATTCAGCACCCGCTGCGAATTTCAGGGTCAGAAGGATGAGGAGCATTCCCTGCATCAGAGCCTCAATCAGCAGTGCCTCAGAGCTGGAGGTGTTTACATCATCAAGCTCAGTAATTACTCAGACAAATTTGCATGCATTTTCTATGGGCATCTCTGCTGGCTTTTTTATTTTCTGCTTGAAAACCTTGCTGGAATCTGCAAACTGCCTTTGCCACTGGGAAGGGATTGCTGGATTGTTCCTTTCTAAGAAGGTACTGAACATAACTTCTGATGCCAGTGACACATTGGCCCTCTTATTCAAAAGATTTTCCACCAAATAGAATGGCAAAAAAATTATCAGAGGCAGGAGTTGTGTGGCCATTGCCTGCTCCTGTGCCCCAGTGCTGCTGCCTGTATCCTCCTGCCTGCTGCAGGGGACTGACTGATGCTTGCTGGTGTTTTCTGTTTACTTTAATTGTTGTCTGGTTTTAATATTGCATGAATTGATTCATCTGTGTTTCATTGTCGGCCCCGTTTGTTTTGGGGCAGTGCCTGGAATATCACTCACTGGCAGATAACTGCTGGACAAATAAAAGGTATTTTTCTTGCTCGGCAAAAGATGAGGGGTGACCAAGCTGCTCTCAGTCTGAGAGGATCCTGAGCAGCACCTGTCTCCAGTTCCCAGGGTCGTGGTGCAATACTCACCATCCCAAATTCTCACCCGTGAGGACTGTCCTTCTTTGGATCCACCATCCAGATGCATTTCGCTGTTTGCCAGGAGCTACCAATGTCAAAGCCATGTCAGGGCTGTCCTGGACACATCCCTGCTGCCTTGGGCAGAGTCCTGGGTGCCCCTTGGACAAGCCATGGGCATTAGGTGGCACCAGACACTGCCAGAGCAGTAGCTCAGAGCCAGCCTGCAAAGATGCTCTGCTCTCACCATCATCATCCTCATCAGAACAAAGACACAGAGCAGGGGACTGGGGGCAGGACAGCATCCTACTGGCCAGCACTGGGAACATTTTTTCATGCTGCTCCTCCACCTCATCCTGTCCTGGTAGGTCTCAGAAGGATACCTGAACAGGGGCCGTGGTTGGGGCTCTGGCCGAGTGCAATTCCTTTCTTCCATGCTGAGGAGCTGGAGAGAGCCAGAGCATCCCTCAGGAACACAGCAAGGGGCAGCCAGGCTTTGGGGCAGGATCTGGGGGGCACCCTTTCTTTTCCAGAGGGTCTGGGGCAGCCCCAGCACTGTTCTGTACACCCCAGCTGCATTCCAAGCCAAATCTCCACCAGCTTACTGCATGAGCCCAGCTGGAGCCCGGAGAAGGCATTTCTCCCTGTGCAGATCCCAAGCTCCGGAGAGAAGCTCAGCGTCTCCCTCTAACGATGTGCAGACACCTGCAGCCCTGATCTGCTCTTTGGGCTTCTGGCCCCCTCACCACCCCGCAGCTCCTGGTACATCCCCACTGCCCCCACTGCCCCCCAGCTCAGCAGGATAGAAACAAACCCCACCGTGGGGAAGATGGGCTTTTTCCTGGCTTCCTTTTCCTTCTCTTTAAACTCAATAAATTCTCCCAGCTCTGTTGCTCGTGAGTCTCCGGTGAGGTGAGAAGAGCAAATTTTGCTGCATATTTGAAAAGGTCAGTGTGGAAACAGGAGGAAATTCTAATTTCTATGTCCTGGAGTACCGGGGGCTACACACAGCAAAGCCCTGAAGCTGCTTCCCTGCAGACAGAGCTGAGGGTCATAGACCCCTGACCCACAGGTAGAGAGGGAAGATGTTCAGCCTCGCATTCAGGGATTTAGGGCTGTAGACATCTCCTGAGCATCCCCAGGAAGGACTGGAGGGACCAAACTCACAGGGCAGGTTCAGGTGTGGGAAGAGTCAGAAGAGCAGTGAGTTAAAATAACAGTCTCTAATTTATTACCAGCAGAGAAGCAGGCAGGAGGATGCCTGGCCAGGGGGCACTGTGACCTGCCTCCACATCCCAATGCCCCAGGGTTTTGGGGTGCTGCTTTTGGACCCCCATGACCCACAGCCCTACCCTCATCACTTGAGGTGGAATGTGGGGAAGTGACAGCATCCATCCTGGCCAAAAATCCTGATTTACATATGGATTTTCCTTAGCTGCCCACAAGGGCACTCTGTAGCTCTGTATGGGAGAATTTGGGAGATGGGGGTCTAACAGCAAACACTTCCACTGTAATGATGATGAAGGCCATCAGGATGGTGCCTGGCTTTGGGGGCACCATTGCCAGCTCTTGGGCAGGCGGTCAGGACAGGAACCTGCCAATGCCTGGATGAGCAGAGCTCTGCAGAGCTGGTGGGAGCATGGAGCAGACAGAACCAGGAGGACCTGGCACCCAGTGTTCCCCCAGCCCCACCCTGGGCAGCACCCACAACCACCCAGCAGCACCCCTGCCTGCTCCCCCCAGCCCCTGCACGGGCTCCCCTGTCTGCCTGTGGATGAAGGATGAGCTCTTGGCACAGGTTCCTCCAGGCCATGGCACCCTCTCAGTGCATCCAACCTGCTTTTACTTGCAGATTTTCCAGCTCTGATGACTCAACTCCCTTTTTAACTCACCAAGTGGAGCTGGGTGCTGGGGTCTTGGCCCCACTTTGAATTTTTTGGCTGGTTGTATCATCTTATTTGCTACTGATAACGTCATCTCCCCGGACGCTGGAAGGCAGCCCAGTCTGATGAGGAAACCAAAGCTCCCTAAATAAGCTCCGAGGCATGGACACGAGTTGCTGGGTGCTGGGATGTTGCCCAAGTGCAAAATGCTTCAGTGTCCTGCACATGGCTCCGAGCTGTCCCTGGAATCATTGTGTTCCCTTTCTTCACAGTGCTGAGCCCTGCCTTTTGCCATCTCCTTTTTTCCATCTCTTTCCCTGTGAACTGTCAGGCTCAGGTGGATGGAAGTTCATCGTCTGTCCCAGCAGCTGGTTTGCTGATTTTCCTCCAGCCAAGAGTTGTGTCTGCTGGACGAAACCTTCCATCCCTGCACAGGAATGTATTCCTTTAAAAGAAAGAGAAGGAAGAAGCAGGAGAGGAGCCCTGGAGTGTCTGGGAAGCTGTCTCTTCTTATTCCAAGCGTGTGGCTCAGGTCTCGTATCGGCGATGCACAGCCCGTCCCAGCGGAGCTCGGTTCACAGTGTTGGTGCAATCTGCCAAACAGACGGATCAGCTAGGAGACATTTCCAAAAGAAGCTGGAACAAGGTGGGAGAGGAAGGAATAAACAGCCTGCAGGGTGGCACGTTGCAGCTCACCCACTACCAGCCCCAGAGAGTCTCTTCCCTTCCGTGCAAAAGGCCGCTGACAGATTTTGGGCTGTGTGTGGCAGCCTGGCCCTGTGCATCACACCCCACAGCCCATCCCTGCGTGCCGCAGCCCGGGCTGCCCCGCTGGCCCTACCTTGGCTGAGCAGCTGCAGGTTCCGGACCTCCTCGCGCACCTGCAGCTGCAGCACCTGCTGCAGCACCTCCTGCCGCTGCGTCTCCAGCACGATCCCCATGCGCTGCAGCTTCTCCCCGTTCAGCCGCAGCAGCGCCCGGCCTGCAAACACGGAACGGCTCGGTGCCCCGCTCAGGCATGACTCCAGGAAAGGGCAACGCAAAGGGGAACCCTTCAGCATGGAGGGAGGAGCAGGGAGTGCTCCCTCACTGCCTGGAGTAGCGCGTGGAGGGACAGGGTGAGGGGGAATGACTGGCAGAGGACAGGGTTACACTGGATGTTGGGAAGAAATTCATCCCTGTGAGGGTGCTGAGGCCCTGGCACAGGTTACCCAGAGAAGCTGTGGCTGCCCCATCCCTGGAAGTGTTCAAGACCAGGCTAGACAAGGCTTAGAGAAACCCGGTCTAGCAGAAGGTGTCCCTGCCTGTGGCAAGGAGCTGGAACAAGATGAGCTTTCAGGTGCCTTCCTACCAAACCATGCTGGTTCCTGACCTCCCTTTCAGAGAGCGCTGGTGGCAGCTCACGTCCCCAGCCTCTGCCAGGTGTCAGCAGCACAGTCCTGTAACCCATCCCCGCAGGCAGCAGCTTTCCATTCTCCGCTCCCCCTCCCACATGAGGAGATGTTTTCTGAGCAGAGTCTCCACGCAGGCTGCTCGTCCTGGGGCAATGAACATGAACGGGGGTGCCCATCACAATGCATTAGTGCTCTGGTCCCCGCCGAGCCACTTCCCTCCAGTCTGGGGCTATTACAGGAGGGATTTTAAACCAGCTTTTGTCCTTGCTTCCCAGCATACGCTCACTAATGCTGCCTTTGTTGCCTGAGCGAGGGCTGGCTGAGCTTTTGCATTAGGATTTTGCATCCCCCCCAGGCAGCTCCTGCCCTCACTTCCCTGCCACCGTCTCCTGGTCCTGCAGAGCTCAGTCTGGCCTTGCACATATTGAAGTTGGAATGGAATGATGCTCTTACACAGAGGTCAAAGCCACTGTCCAGGGAGCAAAGGGGAGGGAGCAGATCCTAGAGGTGAGTCTAGGACTGAAGGACTTGACTGGGAGTTGGATTTGGACCTGAGCAAAGACCTTTGAAACTTGGACTCCAACTGGGCAGAGATTTTTCTCTTCTGCAAAAATTTTCAGTGTTTGAAAAACTTTAATAATATTATTATTTTATTAAGCTAGGTGATGAGAAGACTCTTCTGTCTTATAAGCCAATTTAATAACTTTAAAGAACCTCCAGCCTATCTTGGAGCTCACCCTGGTGGCAGATGCCTCCTGCCCAGCCTGGGTCAGTGTCGCAGTGTCCCCTGCTCTCACCCTGAATTCACCTCATGGGGAGAGGGGACAGAAGTGGGGGGTATGTCCATCTTCTGAACCACCAATTTCCAAACAGCCTTTCCCAGGAGCAGGTGCTAATGGCAAATAGTCCAGAGGACACTCTGTACCTGTGATGGCGTGGTGGGAGAACGCCTCGACGTAGATGAGATAGTTGTGTGGGCAGTGCTTCTTCAGCCATTTGCACACATCCTGCTGGGTCCACAGCACCACTGGCTTGACCAGGCTGCCCAGTGTGGGGCTGGTGTGGTAGATGCCATAGTGGTCACAGCCACGGACCTGAGAGGAGTGGGAGGGGAGAGTGTTAGTGGGATTCAACCCTGGGAGGAGGGAAATAGAAATCAGTCCATGGGGACTGTTGCAGCCTGGACTTATACAGAGCAAATCGCACATCATAAGCTGCGACTGCACAGAGAGCAAGTCTGCTTCTCCTAGGGAATCTTCCAGGCTGGCTGTAAAAGGGGCTGTAGGATGCAGGAATCTCCCCATCCCTGCTTTTAGCACCCAGGAGAAATTGGTGAGCTCTCCACTGCTGGTGATGCTGAGACTTCATCGTTGAGCAGTACCAGCAAACATTGCTGCTCCAAAGCATCCACTTGTGCCCAAGCTGATGGGACTGTCTTGGGCTGGATCACAGCAAACTGGGGTGGAAAAGGCATCCCTGCTTCCCACAACAGAGGGGGACTGGACTGCCAGGGCTCACTGATGCCTGGACAGGGCGGGGACGGAGCAGGAATAGCGGCTGAGGCATGGGAAAGGTCGGCAGCGTGTGGCCTGCAATGTGCCAACATCGACCTCTGCGTGTGAACACTGCCTAATTAAGTATGTCTAATAGAGGAGCAGGGATAATTAGTGTAAGAGGGACTCCAGACATCCCGCAGTCACTGAAACTAATGACACATTCCTGAGGGATGCTGCAGAGGAGGCAGTGGGGGGCAGCTGGGCCGGGATGTGCTCCCTGCCCCGTGCTAGACACTGCCATGGAGCCTGGCCAGCCTGGTGGGGCTGCTGCCTGTGCCTGGGGAGCGTTTGAGCTTGGAAAGGAACTGGTCCTCAAGCAGAGCTCATTGGGAACATTTGAGCGAGAGCGAAGAAGAGCCTCGTTGGGAGGCTGTACCTCAATGAGCAAGGAGTCTGTCTCCAAAGCAGACGGAAAATTCAATAGATAATGCACAGGATGCAGTTACTGATCCAAACCCTCACCTTTGGGAGAGACCCTGCTCCAGCAGATGCATCCCGGGAGTCGCTGCCTGCGGGAGCAGCCCCAGCCCACGCCGCCTGTGCGGCTCCTTCACACTCGGCTGAGCGCGCCGGGAGCGTGCCGTGGGGAGGAGGAGGAGGAGGAGGAGGAGGAGGCGATTTGCTCTGGATTCACTAACGAGCGATGATGAGAAGCGGAGGGGCTGGGGGGAATGACAACCAGCTCCCCAGGAGCTTACTGTGCTTCCCACAGCTATTATCCAACTAACCCTCCGAGGCACGGGGGAAGAGGTGACAAACAACTGGCAATTTCCCTGGGCACGCACATCACTCATCAGACACGGCCCTGCACCGGGGACCATCCCAGCATCCCTAAAGCCCGTGCTGCCTGCTCAGCGTGCATTCCCCGCTCCCCATGGAGGGTCCCCAAGTGAGCCCCTGCGCTCCCCAGAGGGGCAGGGGAGGTGTAAGGGATCATGGGTTTGTTTTCCAGCCGGCTGAGCCGCGCTGTCTCTCTGATGAACTCTCAGCCGTGAATATCGAGTGCCGGTGCGGAGGAGAGCAGGCAGGAAGGCTGGGAGGCTGCTCTGGCAGGAAGGCAGGAGGTGACTGGGGGAATCGGGGGGTGGAAGCCATCTCTGGATGCTGCAAGGAGCAACTTGAATCACCTCTCTTTGCTCTGGCATTTTTCTTTGCTTATGGCAAATTAAGAACCTTTCACTAAATCCTTCTGGGCAGCACATAGGGGTGGAGGAGGGAGAACCATGATAAGCCACAGCTGGCAGCTGGAGAGTGGCTGGTGTGTCCTCATGAAGGAGCCACCTGGAGGTGATGGGACAGTGTCACCAGCACATGGAACATTGTCTCCTCTGGAGCTGCTGCTCCTGAGAGCATCATGACCATACCCGTCCCTGTGGGGTCCCTGCTCCCTTCTGAAGCCAAACCAGACAGGAGGCCCTGTGATACAAAAGCATCTCCATGCTGACAGCTGGAAGCCAGGCAGTTGCATTTTCCCTATTTTCTTTCCAGCATTCACTATCTGGATGTGCCACTCTGAACCTGACTCCCAGGGTGTTAAGAAGGGGCTGGGAAGCTCCAGGAGCCACCTACAGTGATGATACTCCTTCCTGTGTCTGTGCAGCAGTGAATGGATGGAAACCTTTGGCTCACAGCCTCCACAGTACAATAAAGTTTCAAATTTTAGGAAGACAATGGTCCAAACCTGGCTGAGACACACACACACAAGCGCTCAGCGATTTTAAGGCATTATAAGGAATTTGGTCCTGGCATACTTAATGCAAAGTGGCATTAAGTCCCAGCTGCAGGTGATGCACAGAGGGGAGATGACACAGGGAACTCACCCCAGTACAGCACGAGGCCTGACAAAAACACATGATGATGTTTATATATGCTACTACCACTAACCGCCCAGCAATCATGAGGACTTTCAGCCAAACAACACCTGAAGGCCCGATCCTGCAGGGGAAGAGGAGCTGCTCCTGCGGGGGTCTGGCACACACAGGGAGCTGCGTTCCCCTTGGCACGCCCGGGTGGGGTGTGGGTACCTGGGAGCCCTCGGTGCCCGGCTGCCGCAGGAGTTTGACGGTGCGGCCGCCGTCGGGGCGCTGGCTGCGGCCGTCGTGCCAGGTGAGGCTGCTGCCCGGGTTGCGCTGCAGGCGGTAGCTGAGGTTTTCGGCCGACACCGTGTGCTCCAGGAGGCTGCGGCAGAAGCTGAAGTGAGCAGAGGCGGCAGCGGCGGCTGCAGAGGGAAGGGGGGTGAGACACGGCCGTGGTGCCCATCCACCCCATGCCAGGGCACCCAAAAGTGCCTTTTCTAACCCACGGGACCTGCTGAACTCAGGCTGTGGGTGCCTCTCTCCAAAAACTCCCCGTTCCTGCCTTCCTTTCCCATTGCCAAGGAGAAAATCCACCAGCCCAGGAACCGCCAGCTGGCGCTGGGATCCAGCAGGCATCCGACAAGTTGTTTGCCCACACAAACCCCTCAGGAGCGATGTTTGTTTTGACACCCGCCAGCCAAGCAGCCACGGGACCTGCAGCTGATCCCCGACACCTGGTGAGACCCTCCTGCTTGTCACTGCCGGGACAGGAACCGGGAGGAGGCCAAGGGAAGCTGCTTCCCATGGTCCAGGCTGACAGCAAACAGCCACCACCAAGGGAAGGGGAGTGGAGAAACCCTCCTTGGGCAGCTTGGTGAAGAAGGGAATGCTGGCTGGTCCCCCAGCACAGACCATGGGTGCCTGGGGACAGCCACTGTGCACTCCAGTGATGGCCAAACACACACCAGCCCTTCAATAATGACCACGAAGAGACATTTACCCACAACGAGTGCTTTTTGTCCCTTATTCATAGAATCATAGGGTATCCTGAGTTGGAAGGGACCCATAAAGGTCATTAAAGTCTAATTCCTTGTATTTTAACAAGCTGGGGGTGTTGGGGCTGCAAGGAGGCTGAAAAGCTTCCCTTTGAGGGGGGCTGAAGGGACCCAGCTGTCACAGGAGGAGGGTGAGTGGGTATTAGGGGCTCACGCTCTGTCTGCTCTGGATAAAAGCCAGACAGCTTGACATAAGCAGCTCTGATCCACGGAAGCAAAGACTGGAGCATCCCCCAGCTCCCCTGCTCCCACCATGGGGAGCCAGGCAAGTCATGAACCACCTCCAAGAGCAGAGCAGCACCCAAAGGAGACCCACTTCCAGGACAAACCACCCTGAGAGAGCAAGAGGGCTGGAGAAATCCTGATGCAACTCGTTCTCCTAATTAGCAGGTTTTAAGAGGGAAGAGATTGTGAAGAGACCACTCAAATATGCCTTTCTGCAATAGGAGAACAACTGGCCAAAAAAAGTCAAAATAGAGCAAAAAAGGGTTTTCCCACTATACCCAGACAACATCACACAGTGTTGTTTCTTAAGCACACCCAGCAGGAAACTTTACCATGGGGAAACTGAGGCAGGGAACCTGTCCGATGGCTGGGGAAATGATTTTAGAGAAAACAAGGTGGAGGGAGATCCATGGAGAGGCTCAGTCGGGAGCAGAGGCAGGGAGGGTGGTCCTGGGGAGCACCCACCAGGAGTGGTAGGGGTGGTCTCTGCACCTGTCCTGAGAGATGGGGGTGTCTCTGATGACTTCCAGGAGTCTCAGACACCCTGAGCCTGTCAGGTGAGGACCAGAGCAGGCTGTGCTCCCTCCAGCCAAAGATGTCTGAGATGCCACTGTCCTGTCCCTGGCACCCTGAGCGCTGCAGCTGTGCTGGGATATCTCCAAGCTGGAACCTGCCCATCCCACTGGGTGCTGCAGCAGATATAAACCTGGCAGGTCTGGAGGGGCTGCTGCCAGAGTTGTGTCCTTCAGCTGTGCCAGGGCTCCCCCAAGACTTGCTACAGGGAGTGGAGGGAAGGGGGCTCTGGCCATCAGCAGGACCCATATCCATAGGGAGCTATGGAGCATGTGCCTCCAGCAGCAGGACATGGGCATCTCTGCTCCGGCAGCAAACTGCAGGAGGCAACAGCAGGAGTGGCAGCAGAGGGGAAAGAGGGGTGAAAGCCGAAAGGACAAACAAGCTGGGAAGAAAGGCAGCTCTGGGAGCTCTGGGGGCATGGCTGTCCATTGGAGCAGGCAGTGGGTGCCCTGCAGCCCAGAGGCCCTGGCTCCAGCAGCTCCTCCACAGTCCCAGTTTCCCCAGCCCAGCCCTTGCATCCCAACTTTCCAATCACCTGGCAGCACTCAACATGGGACGGTAGGGAGGGAGAGCAGGGCATGTGGGAGCGTTTTGGAGCAAGGAAAGGATGGGGACAGAGGAGCCCCATGTTAGGACAGCCCTGGGCTGGCTCCACGCAGGGACATGGGGGTGACATCCAGCACGGGCTCTCCTTTGCGTGCCCTGCACGGGGAGCAGCCACAGCATCCCCAGGAGCAACCAGCCACCCTCCATCCCCTCCAACCGCCCGTCTCCGGTAAGCCGGGGGCTGTGCCCTCCGGCCAGGAGCGCACACGCACCATCTCCCCTCAGGCCCGCTGGCCCTGCAGCCCCCCGGCCATGCCCTGAAGACCCCTCACCTGGCTCGGATGGTCCCTGCGAGCTGCGGATGGTGGAGACGCAGCAGAGGGATGGCCGGCCCTGCTGCATCTCGGCGGGAGGAGGGATGCGCCTGAGCGCTCGGCACCGCTGTCACGAGTGCGGCTCCATCCCTGCCTCCCCTCATACCTCGTCCACACCTGACTGATTCCCCCGAGCGCCTCCCTCCCACCGCCTCTGAGCACCGGCGGCATGCTCACCCCACTCCGGGCGGCCCCGAGCCGCTCGCACACGGAACGGGGGTGAGTGACACCCCCTCCCCGCTGCCCCGTGGGCGTTTGATCCGGGGGGATGCTCGGCTCTCCTCTCGTGCTCCCGCCTAATCCCGCGGCAGGGCCAGCTGGCACTGGGATGGGCAGGAAGCCTGGGGGCTGCTGCAGGGGACGCTGAACCCACCGGGCATCAGTGGCACAAGCGGAGCCGTGGCACCGGTGGGGCAGCACCGGGGTCACCGGTGGCTGGGGGCAGTCGGCAGCAGGAGGAAAAGCGAAGGAGGAGCGTGGAGATGAACAACCTTAAGAGGAAGGGGCCGCAGGGCGCGGTGTGGGCTGCAGCGGCTCTGCCACAGCTCTCATGGCTATGGTCGTGTTGGGGTCCCGGCAGAAGTGGGGTTCCCACAGAGCAGAGGTTGTGCTGGGTCCTGAAAGGGGAATGGGAATGCAGGAGCCTCCAGGCTGGCTGAGCCCGAGCTGGAGTGGGGAGAGGAGAGCTCAGCTCAGGTCCAAACAGCCACTGTGACCCCACCATTCCAAGTCCCTGCCAGCTGGTCTAGGGTCCCTGTGCCCCATCTGCCTGCCCCCATGAGTGACACCCCACTGCCCGCTTGCTGCCGGCTTGTTTCCATGGCTCTCTGATCCATTTTGGGCATCTCTCCAGCCACGCAGGAGGAGGCCAGGTCCGTGTCACCGCAGGGACACCAGAAGCGGTGGGACAGGGACAGTCACGGCTCCCTCCCTTCACCAGGCATACGCTGCTCCCGATCCCATTCCCTCTCCAGACACTTTTATGGCTGGTGAAACGTGAGCGCTGGAGAGGCTCAGAGCAGCAGCAGCTGCTGGTGGGGAGAGGAACGGGAAATCTCCCGGGGCTGGGCACCTCGGGGCAGGATGTGGCAGCATTCCCCGGCAGAAGCATTTCCATGTGGGTGCCCCGGGCTGATCACTACCAGCAAACCGGGGACTTTCCGCGGGTGCTTCCTGCTCACAGGTGACCAGGACCTGCCCTGGGGACACGGTGGCAGACAGCCGAGCTGCAGGAGGAGCAGGCAGGGGCACAGGGGAGCCAAATGTCTGGACTGGCAAAGACTGCCAGACTCCTGCTCTGTCCTCTGCCACCACTTCTCATCACGGCCTTAGGAACATCCCTGTGTTTTTGATGCCATCGTGTGTGTGGCTGTCCCACAGACCTGCCCTCCAGATGGGGCCATGTCTGCAGTGGGGGCAGCCAGGCTTCCCGGGGTCAGACGGGCTTCCAGGGATTAATGGGAGAAGCTTGAAACAAGATTCACAAGGAATGAAATCACTTTGTTGGTTTGCCTGGCTGCCTGTGTGTGATGACCCCTAAGGGTGGGTCAGCACACCGCATTTGGGAAGGAAAGAGACATTTAGCACCAAATACAACGAGGTATTTGCTTATAATTGGAGGTGGATTCGGGGACCTGGTCGTCTCTCTTGTGTTCCTGCAGGCAGGTGAAAGGTGGATGGGAGCAGAAGTCTCTGAGGACTCCTAGGGCTCTCTTAGGACTTAGGGAATTTGCTCAATTCAGGGAGCAGCTTTGTGAAGAACTCATCCTGCTTTTAGTGGCATCTGCATGAGCCATGAGCCCAGCTGGCACTGCCATTGCCCTGGTCCCCTCTGTCCCTTCCATGTGGCTTCACCCTGGTGCAGAGCAGATCTGTTGCTTGAGCTGGTGGAGCCTCCAGGGATGATCGTTCCAGTGATGCTCTCTGGGATCCCCCAACACATCCCAGCTTTGAAGCTGTGCCTATAGGATGGACCAGGTCCTGCTCTGAGCTATTCCCTAAGATCTGAGGAAAATGAAACCAGACTCAGAGAGGACTGAAACCCCCTCCAGCCTCTCCTGATTCCCCTGGAGTGTACTTGGCTCAGGCCCTGGGTGTGGTGAGTGTACCCCAGCACTTCCCTCTGAATTCTCCACTCACAGAGATGAGATGGGAGCCCCGGCCGGAGCTCAGGCTGGTGGCTGCCCACTGCTGGTGCCTCCCGAGGACGGAGGAGGAAGGGAACAAAAGGCAGATGTCCTTTCTGTCCTCCCTGTGCAGCACGATGGGTGCCCTGAGCACATGCTGGGGGAGTGTTTGGGGGGAACATGCATGCCTTTGGGGTATCTGTGCTCCTGAGACTCCCGTGGGTACTGCCAGCAGGTCCCTGAGCAGCCTGTGACAGAGGACTTCTGCAGGGATGGGCAGTGTGAGAGCGTGGGGTGAGGGCAGCGGGCAGGACTCCAGGTGGCTCTGGGCAGGTTCTCCTGGCAGGAGGCAGGTGAGGGAGCCCACGGACACCCCTGCCTGCAGTGAGCCCCCTTCCACCTTGACATGCTCTTCCCAGGGGTCCTGCTCTGCTCCAGCACCCCCAGGCCTGCCTGCCCTGTCCTCACACCTGCATCCCTTTGCTCTAGCCAAATTTTCCAGCCCATTTCATTGGTACACCACAATTCCAAGGGTAGGACATGGGGACAGACTCTCCCCAGAATGGGGGAGTAAAGGGGAATGTGGAGGGACTGACTCGCGGGATGGAGAGGACAGCACGGGGGATGGAGGGCAGGCAGACCCCCGGCATGGAGCGGGCAGCACCGGGGGAGGCACGAAGCAGAGACCCCCGGCATGGAGAGGGCAGCAGCAGGGGATGGAGGACAGACAGACCCCCAGGATGGAGGGGACAGCATCGAGGCGAGATGGAGGGCGGCCCCCGGGATGGAGCGGATCCCCAGGTCCGTGCCCGCCGCGTTGGCGGCTGAGGGAAGCGCGTCCCGCCGCGCACCTGAGCCCCCCCGCCCGCTCCCGGTACCTTCCATGTCCTTGGGCCGGCCGCAGCTCATCCTCCGGCAGCGGCGCCGCGCTCGGGCGGGCACGGAGCCCCCCGCGCCGCCGGCGGCACCGGGCGCTCCCGCCCGCCCCGCCCCGGTGTCCGCGCCGGGGGCGGCGCCGCCATCCGCCACCCCCGGGGGCTCCGCCCGCCGCCGGCCCCGCGCTGCCGCCCGCCTCGAGCATCCCCGAGCATCGCCCGATACCTGCCGGGGCTGCGGGCATCGCCCCCCGATCCCGCCCGGGGCATCATCCCTGCTCGCTGTCTCCAGCCGAGGGAACAGGTTCCTGGGGACCTGTGGGCACCATGGAGAGGTTTTTGGTCGTGTCTGTAGTGGGCACAGAGCGGAAAACACCTGGTTGTTCCCTCCACCCCAAATGTCTCTGGTGTCCCCGACCTCCGGCTCCCTGGATGGGAGAGGCAGAGGAGGATGCTCACCCCCGTGGGTGCTGCATGAGCTCTGGTGGGGTGGTCTCAGCGTGAGTGGGTACCCACCAAACCTCACATGGAGCTAACGGTGCCACCAGCCGTCACTGCCCCAGGTGACAATCCCACAGGTATGTTTTTAAGTGCCCGCATTCAGCTGTCACAGCTGACCCAGACAGCGACTGTCATTGCCAGCCCCTGCAGCCACCACGGGAGCGGGGTCTGGCATGTTGTGTTCATCCTGCCCGGCCTGGGAGAGGGCTGGGGGCACCTCTGGCTGCCCAGGACAAGGACACACAGGTGCCTGTGCTGTGATACTCCACCTTTGCAAGGGTTCTCTGTCACAGACCCATTGCAGCACAGAGCAGCATCCTCACCCCTGTTTTAAGAGGAAGAACACTCAGCTTAAGCACATCGTGTGACGATCACTGCCCTGTGGGCTGGGAAGGTGCAGCAGGTGGCAGTGACCTTGCACAGCCTCGGGCAGGGTTTGTGTGCCTGTTCATCAGCCTTGCATAGCTACAGCATAAAACCCTCTTGGATCCGGGCTGTGCAGCTGTGTGTGCAAGAATGAAGCACTTGCCAAAACTAAATTCAGCTCCCCAAATCAATAGGAGCTTTCCAAAATTTTGGATGCTCAATCAGGAGCTGTTCTGGATGAGGCTCAAGCCCCTGACAAGGCTGGATGCTGGCTCAGCTCTGTGCTGGTAGCTGGCCAGGGCTGACACATTCAGCGAGCCAACCATGCTGCCAGGGCAGGAGCAGGGACATCGAGTCACAAACCATGCCTGTAGTGGGGACATCAGGCCCCAAACCCTGTCTGTAGCCTGCAAAGGTCCTTTGAGAATCCCTGGGGGGAGCTGGCACTCCTCCTCTGGCTTCAGGAGAGCGGGCAGGGCAATACTGCTGGTCACAGGCAGATAAAGAAAGAACCTGTTCTCCATCCCTTTGAATTTCCCATTTCTCCCTCAGCCTTTGTCTGCACGCAGATCTTTTGAGCCATGGCAGAAATTTTCCAAGAGAATTATGGTTAAAGAGGGGCCTTGGCAGGAAAAGGCTGATGTCGCTTGAGAAATGCGTGCAGATTACACCAAGCTGTTATTAAAAATAAGTGCTGTGCTGTTTTCCAGCCTTTGCTTTCTGTGATTCTTTTTTTTTTTCTGGTAGCAATTGCACTTCTCCAGTAAAGGGTTCACATGTCCAGGGGATGGGATTTGTTTCCTCATCATCTGCAAATGAGCCTGGTGCTAGCCCAGCATCCAAATGGCCTGGGGATACTGTGGTGGGGTTTGGGTGCCTAAGGACATTCAGGCTTCTCATCTATCTGAAATTCCAAATTATTTTCAGAAAAACCTTGAGCCTGGGGCTGCATGGGGAGGGTTGGGAGGTGGTGTGGCCCCCACACCTGCTCCATGCTCCAGCCATCCTTGGTTTTACAGCATCCAGCTTCACTCTTGGGCTGTGACTCAATCCCCACC